CGCAGGAGAGGGCGAATTTATTAAGTGGCAGCGACATTAGTAGCACGACGAGGAGGAGGAGAATGAGGAGGAGGGGGGAGTCTCGTGAAAGGAGACGGAGGAGGTGGGAGGGTGGTGGCTGAGAGGGATAACTCCCCGGAGTCGCACCCTCCCGCGCGGCACATCAGTGTGATGTCTCATTAAAGCCTTATCATTCTGATTGGTTTTCTACCCAATGCGAATTTTTTTTATTAAAAATATATTTTTTTCTTCAGGAGCAAAACGCATTCCCCCTCCGCCGCCGCTCTGGAACGTGGCGGGCGGTCGTGTCGGGTGGAGGATTCGGCGCGGAAGGGAAGGGGGGGGGGCCCGTTCAGGGACAGAGGCGCGACAAACTGGGGACTTGGGCCCGGCATCATTATTTTGTTGTTTCTTAATATGCAGCGGCGATAGCGGCGACAGCGGCAGCGGCAGCAGCGGTGACGGCACGGCCACGAAAACCCATTGCCGTCTCGTTCCTGTTAATTGACACATCACGTCTTGGCGAGACGCGGCCGTTAACCCGCCGGGCTCCGAGGCGCGCCAAAAGCAGAATAAAAAACCTCTTCTACGTGACTTTACCAAATGAATAATAGGGTATGGAATAAAAAAACCTCTTCTACGTGACTTTACCAAAATAATCATAGGGTATGGAATAAAAACCTCTTCTACGTGACTTTACCAAAAGAATCACAGAGTATGGAATAAAAACCTCTTCTACGTGACTTTACCAAAAGACTCAAAGGGTATAGAATAAAAACCTCTTCCACGTGACTTTATCAAAAGAATCAGACAGTATGGAATAAAAACCTCTTCAAAGTTACTTTACCAATAGAACAAGATAATCTATAGAATAGAAACCTCTTCGCCGCGCCCTCGGCCTGGACGCTCGGTCACAAATTGGCCTGAGGGCTCCCAAGCGGGTTCCCAGCTACCTCCTGAAATAAATAAACAGGAAAACGAAGGATCCTTGAGATTCAGGCCAGGCTTTCCCCCCACCCCAAAACCCGGGTTAACCCTGTGGCCATTTTCAACCGCGACTCGAAAGGGAAAGCAACCGATCCGTGAGGCCGGATCCCGTCCCCCTCCCTACCACCAAACCTCAGAATCATCAGCAAGTCTTTCGGCGGGTTCTCGCCAACAAAAACAATCTTCGGTTATCGCAATCGTATGATCAGCTGCGGCCTGGCGCGTTTTTACTTTTGAGTTTTTCACCCCTCCCCACCCCCCCCGATTTCTCAAGAAGCAAGTCGGCATTGGGACGCTTCACGCATCCCGAGTCGGGGATGGCGTGGGGGCTGGGGGTGTGTGTGGCGAGGGCTACAGGGAGAGAGGGTAAAGCGTCGCATGCCGTCACGGCTCTGGCCGGGAGTGGTGGGGCGTGACCGGCGTCGCGTGCGTGGGGAGCGCAGTGCTCATTATCACCGCCGGTGATCCGTCTCACGCTGCCCCACCACCACTCCTCCTCCTCTACCGCCTCGCGCTCCTCTCGTTTGTCGTCGTCATTGTTGTTATTTGCGATTACTGTTATCCCTCGTCGTAATGGAGTGGTGGTTAGCAGCGCAATCCAGGGGTCGGCCAGTTCGATTCAGTCGCCCGGTGTGAACGGTAGAGGCGATGGCACGAGTTTCTTAAAATCGCCGCTACACACCGCCTCTGTCCATCGAGCAGGACGAACGGGTTGGGCCCACGGTGAGTTGGCACGGCAGGTCGCGTGTGGTGGGCCAGACTCGTGAGAACTCTCCCACCCCTTACAAGACGCCTTGGCCAGCGTGCAAATATCGGTTACACCGACCGTGAGCATTTGCCGGCGAGCGAGCTCTGTTGCGACCGATGACATTTGACCGTGGGCCAAAAATTAAAAAAAAAAAAACATTGCCGATGAAGATTTCACCCCACATCATAGGACGAGCTGGTACATGGGTTGTTGTTGTTTTATTGTTTGTTATCGGGCATCGTCTTGAATTACCGTCAGCGCATTCCACGTTCCTGCTACGGGGGGGGGGGGGGTCTTTTAATAGTTGACTTGTGACGTGCGTCGTGACTTTATCCCGAGCGGAGTATCACGTCGACGACGGCAATGGTTTAAGTTGATGGCCCTTGACCGGAAGGATTTTCCAACCGCTCGTTAATGGGCACTGTCCACCTTGCCGGTGTGGGCGGCAGTGGGCAAATAGGAGGAGCAACTCGGAGGGGAAGGAAGTAATATTTGTAAAAAAAAAAAAAAATCTTGACACTCGCCGAGGAGGATTTCTACCCGAGTGAACAAAAGAGGGTATTATTATATCTGACAGCATTTCGTATCAGCCAAAGACATGGCCTTGAGCAAATTACCAAACACGCCCCTGCATCATTGCATTGCTATCTGTGTGCGTGCGCGCGCGCTCGCTGCTGCTGCTGCAAGTCGGGGGGGAGGGGTGGTTCGGTTATTTTTCACACACACACACACATAAATATATAAATAACACCCTCTCTTAATTATCGCGCGGAATTCATTCGACTCGCCGAGGAATGGGAGAGTTCCGCACGGCAGCGGCAGGAGGTGGGAGGGGGGGGTGTCTACCCAGTTGCTACCTCTTCGTCAACTTAACATCTCTTAATGTTCGACGGCTTGTGCACCAGGTCTTATTATATTCACGATGTACTTATAAAAAAATCCGCAGACTACCTGCTGCTGGATCTCCTCTCTGTTTCAAAGAACAAATTTGACCTGACGTCTTCGCTCATTTATCAGCTTCACATTCCCTATAGCCGTACAAAAACTGGATGAAGGGCCTTTGCTATTGATGCCCCCAGGGTCTGGAATGCTATTGCCAATAAACTGCAACTTGAATCGCTACCAATGAGATCTTCTCTCAAAACTGCTCTAGAGGAGTTGTACACCCCTAGCTGCCACTGCTATTCATTGGCGTAAAATAAAATAAAATGTTTTCGCTCCGGATGACGCAGCAAAGTATTATCTGTATTTTGATTTAGCGTGCTGATCTTAAAGGTGCATTGAAAATTTTTATACTCCGACTGATGCTTTTGTTGTTGTGGAGTAACTGATGCAGCCAGCTATGGCTCTAGGATTTGGTGTTATATGTTAGTTATGTATTTTATTGTAAAAATCCGGTCACAGTCCCTATGATCACTGTTACGTTGCAATTATGGCTTTATTTTTTGGTGATTTCGAAAACGTTTTTTGGTTTGGACATGTTTGTTTTGTTGTAGTACGGAGTTAGACTGATGGCCTTAATCTAAGTTTTCTTGTGGTTGTTGTTGTTTGACTTGCATCCCACTGGGATTTTTTGCACACAGCGTTGGTGTACGGTGCTTTTTTCAGGAATATTTAGCTGTTTTTTTTCATGGATTTTCTGTTTGCACAGTCACACATAGTCACTTTAAGATGTTTTTCTTGTTCGTATTTTTGTTTGTTGTGGTTGCACCCGATATCAAGAGCCGAATGGCTCACAGGGCTATACCAAAATAAATAAACTAAAGAAAGAAAGAAACTGAAACTGAACGGGCGGACGAGGATTTTGTAACTTGGCGACGTTCATCGCTCGGCACGTGGCTCACTCACGTTTAGCGGCCTGTTACTCGCGTTTTACGCGGGAGGTTTTTTTTTACACACGTGTGTGTATATATGTGGATGTATGCGGGGGGGGGGTGTGCTTCAAAAACATGTGCACACTTCGGAGAATTCGCAACAATATCCACGAGAAACGTGCTGCTGCCTCGGGGCTCTGGAGACCACCTGGAGAAAATTCCAGGCCACGTGTTGACAACGACGGCGAACACGTGGGAGACTCTTTGACTTTTTGAAGCTATTAACAATACATTTGTTATCATTTTACAGTGCATTATTATGCGTTTCTTTTTCCATTAAAAACGATAGTCCCATGTGAGTGTTAAAACATTTGTGAAGCGCCCTGTATAAGAGAAAGAAAAAAAAATCCTTTGAATATTCCGTTTGGAGTCGGCATTAAGTGCTCGCCGCGCCTCATAAACATGATGTATGTCGGATTCTGCTTGGGCGCTGCGTGTGTGTACTTTGTTTCAGCAGCAACCTCGCGACGGTGAAAATGTCGCGTTTGTCATCGTTCCTCATTCAGCGATCGCCGGGTGGGAGAAGAGAGGGGAGGAAGGTGGTGACTCGGAGCATCGCTTGCGCGCGGAGATGTCGTCTAGTGAGTGTGCGTCGGTGGAGCGGTGGCGCTGCGGTCGGCGCGGACTGCGCTACCAACCCGGCGGCCCGAATTTCGAATCCTGCTCACGGCCACCAAAGGTGGCAAATGCTTTAACCGGTTCTGGGCCTCTCCGAAATTGAGCACCTGCTGCGATGTGTGAACATCGCCACTGGGGAGACAAAGGTGGCCGAGCGTGATGCTGGGCCATCACCCCCTTTGTGTCTTCATTGAGGCTACACAGGGATCCTTTTTATTTGTCTCTATGTGAGACAGTCCGAGCCCGCGAAGCAAAAAAGAGGAGGCCGGTAAGTGGCAGTGGAGCAAGTAGGTTGCTGCCAAAAGTTGGTGTGAATTTGGATATATTTGTTATCGAATAATCATCAGCCAGCCAACATCAATGGCTGGCGGCAATGCTGATGATTATGTCAGTGCTGCTGCTGGTGATAACGATGATGGCGATGCCAATGATAGTTCTGCTGCTGCGGCAGCTAACATGGAGACACAGATGCTGATAATGTCAGTGCTGCTGATGCTGCTACTGCTGCTGATTGCGATATGCCGCGCACCGTAAACGAATCGCCACGCGAGGTCCCTTCACGCTGTTCGTGGAGCTGCAAGCCAAGAGAGTACATATGTCGGCAAATAACCGGGCATGTGACCCCTGACCTTCAAACCCCGACCTTTACGTTACGAACCTCGATCGCCATTGACCGTGTGACCTCTGACCAGCGGCGTCGCGTGATTGGCTTGGACCCTGTCGCAAGGAAGGAAGTGGGGCCCTCTCTCCCCTCCCTCTTCATAGTGCGGCAACTAACCGCGGCGATGCTCGCCCGTGGGGACACCCTTGGGGACACCCTTGGGGACACCCTTGGGGACACCCTTGGGGACACCCTTGGGGACACCCTTGGGGACACCCGTGGGGACACCCTTGGGGACACCCGTGGGGACACCCTTGGGGACACCCTTGGGGACACCCTTGGGGACACCCTTGGGGACACCCGTGGGGACACCCGTGGGGACACCCTTGGGGACACCCTTGGGGACACCCGTGGGGACACCCGTGGGGACACCCGTGGGGACACCCTTGGGGTTTCTTGTTTCCCGACCGCATCCGTTTGACCGCTGGGTCGTTGACCACCCGCATCCCTCCACTCCCGCCTCTCCCTCGTCAAACCACCACCACCCCCCACCTCCACCACCCCCATCCACCTCCCCCCCCCACCACCACCCCACCCCCCTCACCTCCACCCCCCCTCACCTCCACCACCCCCCCACCTCCACCACCCCCACCCCCCTGGGTCTCCTCTTAACGACCGCTCCTCGGCCACGGAGCCGCCGGGGGGCTGGGTGGGTTGAGGGGGGCAGGGGGGGGGGGGTTCTTTAGCCGGCAGCGGCGTCGATCGCACTGCCGCGAGTGGCGCTGGGGGCTCGCCTCGAGCCTCGGAGTCCAAAGCCGCGGGGTAGAAAACTTGTCCCTTGCCGAAGGGGAGGTGGGGGCGGTGGGGGCGGCGGTGGTGGTGGTGGAGGGGGGGGGGGGTCCCGCACTTTGTCTCTGACCTTGTCGGCTGACCCCGAGGCGATGATCGACCCGTCCGAGCTGAGGTCGACGGCGAAGACGGCGCGCGAGTGTCCGAGCAGGGAGTGGCGCAGGTGACAGTGACGGCCGCTCCACACCTTCACCTGCAACCCGTCACACGCGGGAACAAGTGCCGTTAGCGAGCACTTATCAAACTAAATTCATTTTATTTTAGCCAGGTAAGGCCCATTGAGCTATATAGCTTTCTTTTTTTTTTTGCAGAAGCGCCCCGGCTACCACGAATGATAGCCCAACGAGGTGGTTTATGACGTGGAAATGTATAGCGGCCAAATTCTCTAAACGCGCGTTGTTTATTCTAAATGTAGAGGGGGAAAACCTGAAGGATCCGGAGAAAAATCTACGCGACCAAAAGGAGAACGTGGAAAGTCCAAATATACAGCAGCAGGCGTCAGGGTCACGGGATCGAACCCACGACCTCCTGTGTACCAGGCGAGGGAGTTGACATCTCCTAGCCACCGTGGCGCCCTATGAAGGCCGGAACGGGGCACGAGGGGAGGGGTGCGGCAAGCACCTCGCCCCGGCCGCCTTTGTCTCCCCGGTGGTGAAGTTTATGCACCGCATTAGGGTACTCATGCAACCGATCATATCGTATGTTCGTTGAACTTCTTTCGCACCATACGTAGCCAACAATGCTCATCGGAGGTACAGGGGAAAAACAACAAAATAAACGCAAAAAGTAATTCTAAAGAAATGAGTTTTCAATCTAGATTATTTAAGAGTGCATAGCTCCAATGGCTGCCTAATATCGGAAGGAAGAGCGTTCCAGACGGCCGCAGAAGCGCATCTGAAAGAGCGCGATGCGGTGACCGTCTTTGTTCGGTGGTGAGCCAAAAGCCACTGCAAGGAGGTGACTTTTTCCGTGAGCAGGAATCGAACCCGGCTCGCAGGCATCGTAGCGCAGAGCGCTAACCACTGCGCCACCGCTCCATCCACGCGCACGTGCAAGCGAGTACGCTCGCACACACGCAAAGTTACATAACAAGGATCGATAACACACTCACACACACACACCTGCTCCATCTGCGCGCACGCACGGACACACACACACGCGCGCACGCGCTCTTCTCTCCCTCATCACCACCCACCCACATCTGTTCTCTACCCCCCCCTTCCGCCACCACCACCACGCCTCCCACCATTACCCTCATCCACAACCTCCATCTCCCATCCACCACCACCACCACCCCCCTCCCTATCTCCCCGCAAGGCACGGGCACCGGCAGCTTCGTTCAATATCCCATTTAAGTCCCGGTAGAAATTAAAGCCCTATCAGACGTAATTTAAACCTTCACTTAACAAGGCCGGCTTTCCGTCAGCCCCCTCGTAAAACATTTTTTTTTCACCGCCGGAAAAGAAAAAAAAATCGCCTCTCTCGGCCCCGAGCTGTGCGCGTGCCGCACGGGACGCCGATTGCTTGCCCGCTGCCGCACTCTCCGTCGCCGCGACGTTCGGCTCCGGCGGTCACGGGAGCCGACGTCTGATCGACGTCCGACCGACGGTTCTCACCGGAGTGCTGGGAGCATCTTGGGAGAAGTGAATTTTTGTTTTTTTTTATTTTCGCTCCGCGTGCTAGGAGCTTCCCTCCGGTGCCCTTCCCGGTGCGATTGCATTCGCCCTGTCCCGACCGTCTGCGCCCTGCGTTGGTGGGCACCGCTTTGAAGTTTGCCGTGAATTTACTCAGCAGCTTCACTTCCTGATGAAGAAGGGCCCGGCACGTGGGGGGCGGGCGGGCAGGCCGGCAGGCGGGCGGGCGGGCGGGCGGGCAGGGGGGGGAGCGAAACGTCGGACATCGCACCGACCGACCGACGCAGAAAGAGGGGCCGAAGGCGACGGCCGCCAGCGGACGGCGACGTTTTGAGTTATCCACGCTCACTCACGCCGTTCCCGCCGCTCCGCAAACACTCCAGAGCCTCACCCCCACGCCTGCAGCAGCAGCGGCGGCGGCGGCAGTGCCCCCCCCCCCAACTCCACCCCCTTCTTCCCACCGACCGTCAACCCCTGGCGCTGAGAGCGAAGGGAAGCGGTCGATGCGAGGAAATCGATGGGGGTGGAGGCAGACGTCGAAACTCGATCCAGCATCAGGCACCGAGAGGTGAAAGGATAACCAATAAAGCCGGGAGGCGGGGGGGGGGTGTGGCGGTGGGGGGCGGGGGAGGGATGCGAGGGAGGGGGGGTCAGGCTAGACGGCGCTTAGTCCACCACGGCTTTCAATCCTCCCTTATCGGTCTTGCCGCAGGGCTCCCGGCATCCTCCCCCCCGATTCCTCCGGCCAAATTCCACAGACCCCCCCCCCACCCCCGCTTCCTCCCCCCAGAAATAGCAGCAGACACGGAGATCTCCTTTCACTGCTGGCCACTACCTTCCCTCCACCCCCCGATCCAACCCCACCCCCCCTCCCAACTGCTGTTGGGAGGGGGGGTGGGGTTGGAGTCCAAATCATCCGTCGAGTTAAAGCGAAGGAGCGGACGGGTCAATCAGCGGTGCGATTGTCGCGGCGGCCTCGCGTTGGACGCCATTCCCGGCGAGGTTTGAACACTTTTCCGGCGAAAGTTGAGAGCGATAATAATTAACTCTGTCTGTAATGGAGAGGGGATGGGATCGTTGGTGGGGGGGTAGGTGGTGGTGGGAGTGTGTGGGGGGGGGGGGTAGGAGACAGTGGGAAGAACTGCTCGGAAGAAGGGAGAAAGAGAGGAGGGGGGAGGGGTTGCCAAAAAAAACTGTAGCGACAAAAAAAAAACCGGCGCTGAAAGGATTTCAGCTGGCGAGGGCGGCGAGGCTTGACGCTATCCGCCGCGCGGCTTGTGAACGTCGCCGTCGATTGATTCGACCGCGTCCGTGCCCGTGCAGCGCTTTGTCCTCATTCCTTTCGGTCCATTTCGAATGACGTTCGTGACTCGGGGCGATCAGGAGGTCTCGGTGTTGGCCACGCGAGTGAAACGATGAAGCGATGGAGCAACGTTGTCTGGCGCGAGACTTGGAACTATTTGACTGTGGTCAGTGAAGGTGCTGTCCGTTTGGAGGGGGTTGGGGGGGGTGCTAAGCATAAGTAACTTTTCCCCCAGACCGCCCCCTCCTTTCAAGTTGCAAAATGCCAGCGAGATGACAAAAAGCCACGTAAAGACTCGAGGTGCGGATGTCGGTTGTGCGTGCGGCCGGGTGAGATCGGAACTTTCCATCGCGGGATCCTGTGGCGGTGGCTTGGGATCGGCCTTCGTCCGGCAGCCGATGCTGCCGACGGTGACGGTGAGAAAAGGGAAATGTGGACGGAGATGCAATGAGACGACAGAAGAGAGAGAGAGAGATGCACGACGAGACGGGAGATGACAGGAAGTCGGTGGCTTTCCGTGTTACTTTCCCCATTACGTTTTTTTGCGTTTTAATTTGAGCTCATCAATCTACGCACCCCGATTACATTTTTTTCGGTGGGGGAGGAGGAGAGGGGGCGAGTCTATGTATGTTGAACTTTTTTCGCACCGTACGAAGCCAACGGTGCTAATTGGAGGTGCGAATCCGTGGTGGGTGGGGTCCTCTCGAGCTGCTTCGGCCCCTGAGCTTCTTTCCCTGTGGTTCGCTTAGCACCGCCACCAATCGCCGCGGACGCTTTACGGCCGAGGTGCCGCCGTGCCGCTCGTCCTCGCGCTTAACGACGCGCAAACGAAATGAAAATGACCTCGCCACGACCGACGAGGCGGCGAGGCGCGCCCATGCAGAGGCTGACGTCGCGCGGCTCCAGAACGCGCCGCTCGAGAGCGAAGAGACGTGAACGGCGAGGAGGAGGGAGGAGGAGGAGGGGGGGGAGAAGGAGGAGGGGGGAGTAGGGAGGAGGGAGGGAGGAGGAGGGGGGAGGGCGGGGGGAGGAGGACGAGAGGGGAGGGAGGAGGAGGTGGAGGAGGGAGGAGAAGGAGGGAGGAGAAGGGGGGAGAGAGGAGGAGGGGGAGGAGGGAGGAGAAGGGGGGAGGAGGAGGGGGGGAGGAGTAGGGGGGAGGAGGGAGGCGAAGGAGGGAGGAGTAGGGGGGAGGGGGGAGGAGGGAGGGAGAAGGAGGGAGGAGAAGGGGGGAGGAGGGAGGAAGAGGGGGGAGGAGGGGGGAGAGGGAGGAGGAGGGAGGAGGAGGGGGTGGAGGGAGAAAGAGGAGGGAGGAGGAGGAGGGCGGAGGAGGAGGGAGGAGGAGGAAGGGGGAAGGAGGGAGGAGGAGGGGGGAGGAGGACGAGAGGGGAGGGAGGAGGGAGGAGGGAGGGGGGAGGAGGACGAGAGGGAGGGAGGAGGAGGGGGGAGGAGGGAGGAAGAGGGGGGAGGAGGGGGGAGGAGGGAGGAGGAGGGAGGAGGAGGGGGTGGAGGGAGAAAGAGGAGGGAGGAGGAGGGGGGAGGAGGAGGGAGGGAGGAGGAGGGGGGAGGAGGGAGGAGGAGGGGGGAGGAGGACGAGAGGGGAGGGAGGAGGAGGGGGAGGAGGGAGGAGAAGGAGGGAGGAGGAGGGAGGAGGAGGATGGGGGGAGGAGGGAGGAGAAGGGGGGAGGAGGGAGGAGGAGGTGGGAGGAGGTAGGGGGGAGGAGGGAGGAGAAGGAGGAGGGGGGAGGAGGGAGGAGAAGGAGGAGGGGGGAGGAGGGAGGAAGAGGGGGGAGGAGGGGGGAGGAGGAGGGAGGAGGAGGGGGTGGAGGGAGAAAGAGGAGGGAGGAGGAGGAGGGGGGGGAGGAGGAGGGAGGAGGGAGAGGGAGGGAGGGGAGGAGGACGAGAGGGGAGGAGGACGAGAGGGAGGGAGGAGGAGGGGGAGGAGAAGGAGGGAGGAGGAGGGGGGAGGGAGGAGGAGGAGGGGGGAGGAGGGAGGAGAAGGGGGGAGGAAAGAGGAGAAGGGGGGAGGAGTAGGGGGGAGGAGAAGGAGGGAGGAGGAGGGGGGAGGAGGGAGGAGAAGGAGGGAGGAGGGAGGAAGAGGGGGAGGAGGGGGGAGGAGGGAGGAGGATGGGGGAGGAGGACGAGAGGGGAGGGAGGAGGAGGGGGAGGAGAAGGAGGGAGGAGGAGGGGGGAGGGAGGAGGAGGGGGGAGGAGGGAGGAGAAGGGGGGAGGAAGGAGGAGGAGGGGGGAGGAGTAGGG